TTTTTTTTTTTCTCTGGTACCGGGAACCGAACTCACGACCTTGCGCTTGCCAGGCAGGCGCTTTTGCCGCTGAGCTAAATCCCCAGCCCCTCTTACTCTTCTTTCTTAAAGTTAACCTATATGTAGACCTTTATTCTTCCCAACAAATGTTATAGGAAGTTTACCCATTTCTTCCAAAAACCACCTGGAATTTTGATATGGATTGCACTGACTTCAAAAATTAACTTAGGGTGCTGCCAGGTTTTTATAATAGTAAATCATCTATTCAACCGATCTACCAGGATTTCCTGGCTTTTAAAAGTTTTCTACATAGAATTCATATATATTCTGCAGTGGTCCCCAGATATTTTATGGGCTTTGATAATATCAGGAATGATGTTTTAATTTTTATTATTTCTAAATTGACTATTGCTGGCATGGAGAGATTATTTCAATTTTTTGTAAGTTCCTCTTTTTTCCAGCAATTTTAATGAGCTCTTCTTGGTTTTAATGGTTTGTTTATTGATTCTGTTTTTTCTTATTTATATGAGCATGTTATCTACAGAAAGCTGTTCTTTTTTCACCTCTCCCATCTTTCCCTCCACACTTGCTTTTGCATGTTTATGTATGTTACTAGGGACTGAACCTAGGGCCCTTGCACTGAGCTATATCTCCAGCCCTTTTGACAAATATTTTATTCTGAGATAGGGCCTTACTAAGTCACTAAATTGCCCAGACTGAGCTCAGACTCATGAGCTTGCGATCCTCCTGCCTCAGCCCTCCCCCTGGCTTCTTTATCTTTCCACAGCGCCTTAGCAATAATTTCTATCTAGTTCTATGTCAAACAATATTAATGGTGGCGGCTATCCTTTCTGTGTTCCCAAAATTGAAGGGAAAAAGTACATCTAAAGCTTAATCATCACATACAATTGTTACAGGATTTTACTGTCTTTATCCTACTCATTTATTAAGAGTTTTCAAGCTGGATGTGGTGGTTCACAGGTGTAATCCCAGCACTCCAAGTCTGGCAACAAACCGTTGAACTTATCAAAGGGTTTTTCTGCTTTGATTGAGACAATTACTATTTTACTCCTTGCTTTTCTTTCTTTCTTTCTTTCTTTCTTTCTTTCTTTCTTTCTTTCTTTCTTTCTTTCTTTCTTTCTTTCTTTTTCCAATACTGGGGATTGAACCTAAGGTCTTCATACTGAGCTCTCTTTTCTTTTGAGACAAGACCTTGCTAAATTGCCCAGTCTGGGCTCAAACTTGTGATCCTTCTGTCTCGGTCTCTTAAGAGTGCTGGGATTGGGGCTGGGGATTTAGTTCAGCGGCACAGCGCCTGCCTGGCAAGCGCGACGTCGTGAGTTCAATTCCCGGTACCGAAAAACAAACAAACAAACAAAATTGCTGGGATTACAAATGTGTGCCACCATGCTCAGATCTTAAGTACATTTCACAATTTATTAGTTTTTAATACATTATTAGATTATGTAATAGATTATGTAATACATTAGTAGACATTTTTTAGCCCAAGAGTTATACCAAAATATGTAATTTAGTTTGCAAACACATGACTTTTTAAGCTCTTTTTCTTCATTTTGAGTTTTGTTGCACTACAATCAAACAACCTCATCTGCATGGTATGGATCCTCTGGAATATTTTGAAGATTCTGTGCTTGTCCTATGGCCGGCTTCATGGTCATAAATACTTCCTGGGCTTGAAAGGATGATGTTCAATGTGGAGTCCTATAAACTTCTCAAGATAAGCGTGAGCTTATGCAATTCAATTTTATTACTCACAGCATTCAATTCTGTAATTTCTCTACCTTTTTTTCTCTTGGACCTATCACTTTCAGAAATAGTGGCAATAAAATCTGTAAGTACAATTACTGATTCTTCCTGCCCTCTGTCCATTGTGGCCTGATGAACTTTGCACCTATGTTACAAGTTGCCTATATGTTCATAGTGGCTCTGTCTTCCTGTCTATTTGTCTTCTTACTGGCATATATCGTTTCTCCATTTTGCTTGATGATTTTTTGCATTAATTTCTATTTTGTGAGACATTAAGTTTGTTATCTCAGCTTACTTTGATTTATTTGACTGCCATGTCTTTTTCAATACTTTTTTAGGATATATTTTTTCAATCCTTTTATTTCAGTAGTTCCGTATTTTTAAATTTTAGTATATGTTCTTAGTATATATATTATTAGACTTTCTGTCTTTTCTTTGATGAATTTTACTCATTTCCATTTAATATAGTTGTTGTTACTATTATGTTTATTTCTATCACCACTTCATTCTATATTTTCCACATATTATATTTTTTATTCATTCCTTTTCAGCTTACCACTGGCTAGTTTCCTTCTGTTAGTTGAAAGTTGTACATTTCATTTTGGTTTCAAAGTAACTATCCTTACTAAATCACTCATCTCTTTGTTTTGTTTTGTTTTATTTTGTTTTTTTGAGACAGGGTCTCTCTGTGCAGTTCAGGCTGACCTTAAAATTACTATGTAGCCCAGGCTGCTCTTGACCTTGTGGTGATCTTTGTGCCTCATCCCCCCAAGTGCTGAGATTACAGGTGTGCACCACCACATCTGGTTTATGCAGATCACTCACAGAAATGGTTTATTATCATTTCCTGCTAAGTAGGTGCTTTAATATTCTCTCATGCCTCTTTATTTCCTCCATGCCCACCTCCTTAGGCAGACACTGTGTGGATTAAAATTTGGGTTCATTCTGCTTATGGATGCTCTTTCTCTTTTTCTCTTTCTTCTTCTCAACAAGAGTCTTTACCAAGATCTCTGACCACCTTCACGTCTCAAATCCCTTGAAGCTTCCCTGGATTTGCTTCTCTTCTTATTTGAGAATTTCCTCCAAACACATTTATAATCTGGGTTCTTTCTGGAGCACCCATTCTAAAGCTCTAAAATCTGAGAATTTTTTTTTTTTCTTCAACCTTGAATGAGAGTTTCACTAGATATACAATTCTGGTTGAAAATTCTTCTCTTCACATTTAAAAAAATATCATTCCTTGCTGTGGTAGAGAAACTTGATGGCCAGTCTGATTCTTGTAACTTTGCAGGCCAGCTTCCCTCTCTGGAAAAAAATTATATATAGAGAACATTCATATATAACTCATGGGTTTTCCTTATTATTCCTG